TAGACACCAGGAAATAATCAAATTGAGGGCTGGAATCAATAAAGTAGAAACTAGGAAAACAATCCAAAGAATCAATGTAATGAAGAGTTGGTTCTTTGAGAAAATCAACAAGATAGACAAACCTTTATCCAAACTTATCAAACAGCAGAGAATGAACATACAAATTAACAAAACCAGAAATGAATAGGGGGACATAACTACAGACACCAAGGAAATCCAGAGGATGTTAAGGTCATACTTTGAAAACCTGTACTCCTCAATATTTGAAAATCTAAAGGAAATGGATAATTTTCTGGATTCATATAATTTACCAAAATTAAATCAAGAACACATAAGCAGTTTAAATAGACCTATAATCCCTAATGAAAGAGAAGCAGTCATCAAAAGTCTTCCAACCAAAAAAAGCCCAGGACCAGATGGCTTCAGTGCAGAATTCAACCAGAAATTTAAAGAACAGCTAATACCAATTCTCCTCAAAGTGTTCCACACAGTAAAAGCAGAAGGGTCATTGCCAAACTCCTTTTATGAGACTTCAATAACCTTGGTACCCAAGGCACACGAAGACATAACTAAGAAAGAGAACTACAGACCAATATCCCTCTTGAACATTGATGTAAAAATACTCAATAAAATATTGGCAAATTGAATCCAAGAACACATCAGAGAAATCATCCAACATGATCAAATAGGCTTCATCCCAGGGATGCAGGGATGGTTCAATATATGATAATCCATCAATGTAATCCACCATATAAACAAACTGAGAAAGAAAAATCACATGATCATCTCACTAGATGCTGAAAAAGCCTTTGACAAAATCCGGTACTCCTTCATGATAAAAGTCTTGGAGAGATCAAGGATAGCAGGAACATACCTAAACATAATAAAAACAATATACATTAAACCAACAGCCAACATCAAACTAAATGGACAGTAACTCAAGATGATTTATCTAAAATCAGGAACAAGACAAGGCTGTTCAGTCTCTCTCTCCCTTTTCAATATTGTATTTGAAGTTCTAGCTAGAGCAATTAGAAAACAAAAGGAGATCAAGAGGATACAAGTTGGAAAAGAAGAAGTCAAACTCTCACTATTTGCAGATGATATGATAGTCTACATAAGTGACCCGATAAACTCCAACGTGGAACTCCCACACCTGATAAACACCTTCAGCAAAGTGGCAAGATACAAGATTGACTCAAAAAAATCAGTAGCCCTACTATATACAGACAATAAATGGGCTGAGAAAGAAATCAGAGAAAATGTTTCTTTGGGTTTCACCAACGTGGTCTTGACCCCTTTGCTCATCACTCCTCCTTCTCTGCTACTGGATTCCAGTTCAGTTCAGTTCAGTGTTAAACTGTAGTGTCTGCTTCCACTTCCACCTGTTGGGTGAAGGCTATAGGATGTCATAAAAGTCAGTCATCAATCTCATTATCAGGGGAGGGCATTTTAGGTAGCCTCTCCTCTGTTGCTTAGATTGTTACTTGGTGTCATCTTTGTAGATCTACAGACATTTCCCTAGAGCCTGATTTCTCTTTAAACCTGTAATGGTTCCCTGTATTATGGCATCTCTTATCTTGCTCTCCTCTATTCTTCCTTCATCTCAAACTTTCTGCTGCCTCATGTCCTCCTTACCCCTCCTCTTGTCTGCTCATTCTCTTAGCTCCTTCTCCCCTCCCCCATGCTCCCAATTTGCTCAGGAGATCTTGTCCCTTTCCCTTTCTGTGGGGGACCATGTATTTCTCACTTAATGTCATCCTTGTTTCCTAGCTTCTCTGGCCATGTGGATTGTGGGCTGGTAATCCTTTGCTCTATGTCTAAAATCCATATATGAGTTAGTACATACAATTTTTGTCTTTTTGTGACTGGGTTACCTCACTCAGAATGGTTTCTTCTAGCTCCACCCATTTGCCTGCAAATTTCAAGATTCCATTGTTTTTGTTTTCTTCTGAGTAGTAATCCATTGTGTAAATCTACCATATTTTCTACATCCATTCATCAGTTGAGGGGCATCTAGGTTGCTTTCAGGTTCTGGTTATTACAAATAATGCTGCTATGAACATAATTGAACAGATGTCCTTATTGTAGGAATGTGCAACATTTGGGCATATGCCTAAGAGTGGAATTGCTGGATATTGTGGTAAACTGATTCCCATTTTCCTGAGGAATCTCCATACTGATTTCCAAAGTGGCTTTACAAGTTGGCACTCCCACCAGCAGTGGAGGAGTGTTCCCCTTTCTCCACATCCTTTCCAGAATAAACTGTCATTGGTGTTTTTGATTTTAGCCATTCTGACAGGAGTAAGATGGTATCATAAAGTTGTTTTGATTTGCATTTCCCTGATGGCTAAGTATATTGAGCACTTTCTTATGTGTTTTTCAGCCATTGTAGTTTCCTCTATTGAGAAATGTATATTTAGTCCTATAAATTGGATTATTTGGTGTTTGGGTAACAATCTTCTTCAGTTCTTGTAAATTTTGGAAATCAGCCCTCTGTCAGAGGTCGTGTTGGTAAATATCTTTTCTGATTCTCTGAGCTGCTATTTTGTCTTGTTGACTCTGTACTTTACCTTTCTTAAGCTTCTCAGTTTCAGGAGGTCCCATTAATTAATTGTCGATCTCAGTGCCTGTGTTACTGGTGTTATGTTCAGAAAGCGGTCTCTTATACCAATTTGTTCAAGGGGGCCACCTACCTTCTCTTCTTGGATGTTCAGTGTGGCTGAATTTATGTGACTGATAGCTGGGAAACCATCATGGGACTGATCCAGACCCCATGAATGGGGGCATCAGTAAGGAGGCCTCGGAAATCTATGGGGCCTTTTGTAGTAGATCAGTACTTATCCCTAGCCTAGGAATATACTTTGGGAACATGGTCCCTCAGACAAAGGGACAGGGACAAGATCTCCTGAGCTAATTGGAAGCATGGGGGGAGGGAAGAGGGAGATAGAAGAATTAGAGGGGAAGAAATGAAAGGGAGAGGAGCACATGAGAGAGCAGGAAGATTTAGTCAGGGGATGAATTGAGGAGAGTTAGAAAAGAGATACCACAATAGAGGGAGCCATTATAGGTTTAAAGAGAATTCTGGCACTAGGGAAATATCCAGAGATCTATGAGTTTGACCCAAATTAACAATCTAAGCAGTGGTTGAGAGGCTTCCTTAAATGCCCTTCTTGGATAATGAGATTAATGACTACCTTATATGCCTTCCTAGAGCCTTCATCTTGTAGCTGGTGGAAGCAGAGGCAGACAGCTAAGCACTGAGCTTATCTCTGGATTCCAGTGTCAGAGAGGGAGGAGTGATGAGTGAAGGGATTAGGACCAGACTGGAGAAACCCACAGGGACATTTGACCTGAACAAGGGGGTTGCTCATGGACCCCAGACTGATATCTGGGAAAACAGCATAGGACTGTTTGAGACCCCCTGATTGAGGATGTCAGTTTGGAGGTCTGGGCAGTCTATCGGGCCTCTGGTAGTGGATCAGTATTTATCTCTAGTATACGAATGGACTTTGGGAGCTGTCTCCACATAGAAGGATATTCTCTCAGCCTAGACACACAGGGGAGGATCTAGGCCTTGCTCCAAATGATATGACAGATTTTGAAAATTCCCTTACTCTTCCTGGGGAGCAGAAAGATGTTGGGATGGGGTTGGGGTCAGGGGACGATGGGAGCCAGAGGGAACTGGGATTGACATGTAAAAGAAGCTTGTTTCTAATAAATAAGAAATTAAGTAAATAAAAAGAAAAAAGTTTTAAGAGTTTGAGAGATGCTCTCATTCATTTATATACTACCATCAAAAGCAATATAGGGACTACTGTCTTCCATTTAAGATCTCCCAGGTGTCTGTTGATAGACAATCTCACTTGTAACTCAGATGCTGGCAACCACTCAACAGGTATTTTTTTCTTTTATAAGTTAGGAATGGTCTGATCTTTGAACATAGATCTTGTAATAAACTGTTAGTATTCTGTAACCATTGTCTTAATTATAATTATAGTGTCTTTTAAACTGATCAAATAGTTGTTCAGAGCTTGGGAGATAACTCAGTGGGTGCAGCACTTGTCATGCAAGCATGAGCATCAGAGTTTGATCATTAGGATCCACCTGCAAAAGCTGAGCAGGGGGAAATCTCAGAACTTGGAGAGAGAAACTGGTGAATTCTTGGGTAATCACTTATTGGCCAGTCTATCCTCCCAGCAAGCCTCAAGCCAGTGAAAATATTAAGGTAGACATTATTTTGGGCACAACACTGAAGATTGGTCTCTGGTTTCCATATGTACAGGTATGATCACCTTCAAACAAAAACACATCTGCATACACAGGCACACAAATTATTGTATGTCTATTTCTTCTTCTGGATTATGTAAACATGAGCTAGAGAAGAGGTTATTTGGCCATTTGTTACTGTATTTTTAACAATGTTACTAAGTAAATGCTCACAAATATCATTGCATGGTCAATGAATAAATGTGATTCCACATTCAGTTGTAAAATTCTCTAAGTCACTACTCACTCATCAAAATTAGTATCCAACTATCCCTAGTACATAAACTGGCTTTTTGGAGTCCATTTCCTATGGAGAGATACCATTCTCAGTCTAGACACAGCAGGGGAGAGGACACCTTGGTCAGGCTTCTTCTTGGTGATGAGACAGACTTTACTGACTCCCCATGGGAGGCCATACCATCTCTGAAGTGTGGATGGGGGTTGGGGTGAAGGCAAGGTGGGGAGATCAAGATGAGGGGAGGGAGGAAGAACTGGGATTGATATGTAAAATTAAAAAAATAAATGAATAACTCCCCCCAAACTGGAGCATCCAATTTATCATGTTATTGGAACATTTCTGAAGAGTGACGAAATGTTTGGAGTTACATTGAATGAACATCACCAATGTGAACCATCCCACACTCATTACAAATCAAACAGGAACATCTTTTATCCTGTGACACTTGCTTTTGTGATCATTTTGCCCATTCACATATTTAAAATTATTTATTTCATAGTTTTACACTCAATATATCTTGTAGCATATCTGACACGATGGCGAGGCTCAGGAGCAGGATCATGAAGTCCTCGAAGTCCAGCTTATTTTCTGTGTGTTCATCAAGCTCAGAAAGGATATCTTGACACTTTGGCTTGGTTTCTTCTCTCTGAGAATAAAAAAAATAAGAGAATCTATCCTGTATATAAACATTGTATTTAGAGATGGTAATGAATACGAATTATGTTATTAACAGTATAGCATGGCCAGTGCCACCACATAATCACTGTGCAAAACCCTTCATGACTTGCCTCTGAGAACCCATCCAGTGATCTTACTGTATATGTACTTCCACTATTTCCCAGCTGTGGGTGAACCATCAGAGAAGTAAGTAACTTGTCTCAAAGTAAGCAGCCTTTGCTGTGAAGCCAATATTGTGGTCTTATCAGCCTGATTCCAGAGCCACACTTTTTTTTTTTTGCTAGAAGCAGAATTTTTTTGTATTTTAGTAATGTGCATTTTTTATTAAATTATTTTTTAACATTCCAACCCCAGTTCCCCCTCCTCTCCTCCCACTTTTCTCTCACCCCACCTTTCATATGCTTCTTGGAGAAGGTAAGGCCTCCCCCTCTGCTAGGAAGTCTGTTAAGTCTGTCCCATCATCTCACTGAGGCAGGACCAAGACACCTCTCCCCCCACCTGCACCACTGTGTCTAGGCTGAGCAATAGCCCATATAGAATGGGCTCCACTAAGTCAGTTTGTGCTTCAAAAATTGTTCCAGTTGCACCATTGTCATCACTATTAAAGGGATATAGTTCGGTCTTATTCAGGTTCCCCATTAGTCAGACTGGAGTCAATGATCTCTCATTAGCTTGGGCCAGCTGATTCTGTGGATTTCCCCATCATAGTTTTGACTCCTTTATTTCTATTATTGCAGAGCCACACTTTTAACTAGTAAGTTATTTCTTTAGGCACAAAACTTCCTATATTTTCAGATTTTAAATATATAATCTCTTAACTATAGGAGGTACCTTTTATGTGTTCCCTGGACTGTCAGATTATTCAGAAATATAGACTAAAATGTGCTAGAGGAAAACACATTGCTTTGTGGGATTGTTCAGCATTTAGTCTGATTGTCAATCATATCCAAGCTCATAGCTGTCATACAGAGATTTCAGGAAAACATCTGAACAGCATAGAAATGGAGAGCATTTTCAGTACCAAACATTTCGAACAGCAGCTGGAGGCTTTGACATTAAGCACACAAAAGTCATTTGAGGCACTCTGATCCAGAGCTGTGTGTGCATTCAGTTTAATCACAAATGCCTAGCCATGCAATGGCTGCAAAAATCCCAGAAATGCTTGAGACATTTTTGGAATGGCGATATTTTTCTTTTTCAGTCTAAACCACCTTTGTTTCTCTATGCTGGCTCTCCCCAGGGGTCACATCTTCAGTCTGAGCCAAGGGAACTCTTGACCTATTTGCTCAAAGAAAGCAGAGTACTATTTGGACAGGGTTGGAGTTCAATAACAGGACTTCCCTGTGGGACTTCCCAGTTTCCCCAAAGATCATGGAAGCATATAGATCCATCCTCTCCCTCTGTTCTGCATAGTGAAGGACCAGGGAGCTGGCTAAGCACTAGTCACTCAAGGGTTTGACCAATCATCTTCTTTTAGCATCTTCTTGGCAGTGCTCCTCGGTGCTAGGTTTGTTCTATCTTTCTGGTGATTAAGTGTTCAGACTGGCCATTGTGTTTAGGCTTATGAGAAAGGTGACATTCTTTTTAGGACCTAGGCTTAGCAAATTGTGCCACTGCCACACAATTTACCAGAGAGCTCCACAGAGGGTTTAGAGTGGCAATTCTCAACCTGTGGGTCATGGCCTCTTTTGGGGTTGAATAATCATTTCAAAGGGTCACCTAAGACCATAAGAAACCATAGCTATTTACATTACAATTAATAGTAGTACTAAAATTACACTTATGAAATAGCAATGAAAATAACTTTGTAGCGGGGGCTGGGGTTACAAGAACATGAAGAACTGTATTCAAGGGCCACAACATTAGGAAGGCTGAGAACACTGTGCATTTAGAAGTCAGAGTACAACCTCGGGTGTTCACCCTCATCTTCCACCTTGTCTGAATCAGGGTCTCTTGTCACCAGGCTAGCTGGCCAGAGAGCTTCCTGGGATTCTCCTGTCTCTACCTCCCATCTAACTCTGTTAGTTCTGGGATTAAATATGTGTGATATTACTCCTGGCTTTATATGGCTCTAGGGATTCAAGCTCAGGACCTCATGCTTAAGCAGCAAATGTTTTACTTAGTGAGACATCTTTCAAGGTCCCTCCAGTCTTTTGTCATGTGCATTATAAAATGA